CTGCCTGGGAACCCGCCAGCTGTGTGAGGAGGAAACAGACGTGCCGGTGCAGCGAGCTGGTGGAAGGGAAGGCCCCCTGCCCGCCCGGCGCTGGGGAATTGCCACGGACCGCCGCAGCCGGACAAGCTGCTGGGAGCCGGCGCTGTAATTACAGATTAGTTTTCCACTGGTGCACGTGCCTGGAGTTTTTATTTTAAGTGCCACCGCCCCAAAGGCTCCTCCTTCCCCATGGGGAGGTTGGTGCTGGGCAGGGGGGCCCTGCCCGCTGGGACTCCGGCCCCAAGCCCCCAAGAGGCAACGCCCCAGCCTCCCATCCCGCTGTAACCCCTCGGTGGCTACATGAGCCGCACGAGGCAGCGGGTAGGAAGCTGGGTACAAGCTCAGCGTGGCCAGGCTGTGGGGCCTGCAGCTGCTAGCACAGCCATTCGCATCCCCTTTTCCTAGCCAGGGCCCGGCAGGGCGATGGCAGCAGGCAACTGTGGTGCCTCCTTGGCGTTGCTCATTAGCCAGAGTCGCCATCGGGGCATGGCCCAGCCTTTCGCAGCCTACAGCCTGCTGGCGCTGGGTATGCAAAAGCCAGGCCTGGGGCGTCATCTCGTGGTGGCCACGGGTATTACTCTCAACACAGCACCCCCCCAAAGGCCCTCTGCTCGGCATCAGGTCTACAGCAGTGGCCCTCCGAGCGGGGCTCCGCAAAGAGGGCCGGGCAGCCTGCTCTGGGCGCGCACAGACCACGGCGCGGCTCCACCGGTCAGTATGGAGCAGGGTGAGCTGCGAGGTGACCTGCCTGCGCCCAGGGAGCTGCGAGGCCGAAACAGCCAGTGCTCCTTTGCTCTCGGAGCCGCCAGTCCCTGCTAGACCTGTTCTGCAGCACTCCCTGATCCCAAGCGATTCCCCAGCCAGACCAGCTTCCACTGGAGAGAAATCCCTTCTGCCCACAGCGCCAGGCGCCCTACTGCTTTCCCTCCCGGCTCTTCCCCTGAGCCTTGTCCGGCACCGGGTGAGCCTCGCCAGGGACCTTATGCCGCCGTCTGTTCCCAACACTCTTACACCCCCTTCCAGGCACCGGGGTGATACAAAGCGAGTCCCTGCAGCCAGGACAGGGCAGTTCGCTACCTGCCTTCGGGTCTTCCCCGTGAAAGTTCATGGTGCTATCAGTCTATTTTGGACTCGTCTTTAAGGGCACGTCTGCCCCGCAGTGTGATTTTGGAATAACCGGTATGGTTCCGAAATAACAGTGCCCGGCTACACTACACGCCGTTCTTGCGCCATAATGTCGAGCTGGAGGACTTCTTACTTGGACTCCTGTCCCCCTCCGTTCATGAGGAGCAAAGGGAGAGCGCCGAAAGCTGAGTTACGCTATTTCGACTTCAGCCACGCAATTGACTCAAGCGGCGTCGCTTCCTTAGGCTTTAGCTCTGCTGGGTAGACGGACCTTAGGGTGCCCCGGGACCCCTCGTTGTCTTTAAAGTTACAGACTAAGCGGGCGGCCCCTGTGAGGCTGTTAGAGGAGTGGGTTTTCTCAGCCAAGGCCGCTAGGGGTCAGCCACGCTCCGTTCTCCTCTCCCTCACCCTGGAGATGCTGCCGGCTCTGCCTGGCCCAGGTTTCCCGTTACACGGGCAGTGCTGGGCGCGCCCCAGTGCCCACTCCCCAGATGGCTGGGTGGCACGGCCCAAGGGGCCTTGGGCAGGGCTGCATTAGCGAGCCCTTGAGCTGGGTTCTTGCTTGCGAGGCTGCTGCAGGGTGGAGTCCTCCCCACGCCGCCAGCTGCTGCTGCAGATCATCTCCCTGCCTGATGCTGCCCCCGAGGCCTGGGCCCAGGAATGGGCCTGTTCGGGGGGCAGAGTCGGCCTGCAGGCAGAGCTGGGGGGCCCAGGTGGGCTACTCAGTGATGGGGCACGGATAAGCCCCCCTCCAAGGCGGGCAAGGCTGGGTGACGGGCAGTTCACTCTCCCAGCTGGACCCTGAGCCCCATGGGGCAGGGCCCCGCCTTGGGGGTTTGGCAAGTGCTAGCCACCTCCCAGATCTTCACACTGCGCCCAGCCCCATGGGCTCTGGATGCCTCCTCTCCTGCCCCAGCTGGTGCTTCCAAGGGGGACCACACTCCCCCCCGTTACAGCCAGGTCCCAAGACCCACCCCAGGCCAGAACCCAGCCATAAAGACAATGGGTCCCAGTGGGGCAGCCATCAGCTCCCTGGGCCTGGGGGCAGCTGAGGAAGCCAGGGCGAGCGCCGGAGGCCACGTTGCTGACAACAGCCTGGTGCCCCCAGCCGTGGAGACCGACACGTGGCCCAGCTGCTCTCCACTGTGGCATCGTGGGTGATGCCCAGAAGTTTCTTTAACTACACGTGGGTCTTACAAGCACCTCCATGGACGCCCTCTGCCCTCCGGCCAGTCAGTGCGGGGTGGGGAGGAGCCCTTCCTCTGCCGGGGGCCTGGACAGCACCCCCGTTCCTGCTGTCTCAGCGCTCGTCCCAGACACGCCGGCCTTCAACACGGCCCTAATCGCACGCTGGCTCGGGGACCAGCAGCCACTGGGGAGCCCTGGAGCTCAAGGCATCTCCGCCCATCATCTTCCCCCTGCGCAGCCTGTTGGTACAGTCCCAGCGCTTGGGACCAGCTGGTAGGTTTTAGGCAGCACCTTTGCTTCCCCTCCCGCCCCGAGTGGGCTCATTCAAACATTCGGCCTGCTGAGGGGTTGCAGGCGGGGGGGCTGCTGTGGAGAGGGGGATTAGGTTATGAGTCAAAAGAGGGAGAAAGGGGTTTTGTTGGTGGAAAAGCAGTTTTCAACCAAACAGAAGAAAGCGGAATGAAATAAATCCTAAGGTTGAAATGCTTTATGGAAGCTGAAGGGACTGTTTTCAATATCAGGATTATATGTGTCTGGTAAGGCAGATGGAAAGAGTTGGTGAACTGATGTAGTGGTTATTCTTTCCTTTCAACTGATGCTTCTATTCTGCTTGATGTCATTGGCTTTGGTACAGTGAATGCTCATTTGTAAACAAAATGATGAGTCATCAGGGTGTGACAGAGGAAATCTGTTAATGATTTTTCACCAGCAGTTATGTCCATTCAGTAAGCCATTAACTCTCCTGATGTGGGTCTGGAAACTCCCAGTTTAAATGAGTGACTCTGTCACTCTTTCTTTTCAGTGGGGAGTCCTGCTGAGTCCAGGAGTGGGGAAGGGGATTAGGTGCTCGGGAGGGCTCTGGAGTGGGGAAGGGGATTAGGTGCTCGGGGGGGCTGGAGTGGGGAAGGGGATTAGGTGCTCGGGAGGGCTCTGGAGTGGGGAAGGGGATTAGGTGCTCGGGGGGGGCTGGAGCGGGAGGGGGCAGGAGCTCACAGCTGGCACCTCATCAAAACAAGCCTTCCTGGAGTGATGGTCCCCTCCCCCATGAATTCGGTGACTTGGACGTGGGGGTTTGTGGCCCGTGGTGGGGCGGATCTGCCCCCGGAATCCCCACCTGGGAGGTGATGGCAAACCCCGCTGAGGGGTAAGAGGGCGGGATTGTTACAGGGGGAGAAGCAATCCGGGAGGGAGGAAGCCGGGCTGGGAGGTTTTCTCCCCACTAAGGCAGGTCAGGATTCCGGCCTGTAACAGACCCCGCAGACGAGACCCCCCCTCCTTCTAGGGCCCCCCACTGGCTTCACCTTTATCCAGCTCCGTGGGGGTGCTGCTTAGGGACACTTGGAGATCTGCAGGTCTCCCCAGCACAGCAAGGGCCGTAGGAGAGAAGCAGTAAGTGTGGACAAGGGGCTAGGGGATTTTTTGGGCCTGACCCAAAGCTCAGAGGCATGGGGGGCACCTTTCCATTGACTTCAGTGGGCTTTGGCTCAAGCCCTGAAAGCACAAAACACGTAATTGCTCTGCCTTTATCGGTTACCCCTGTGTCCCCAGCGACCCCACCGGGCTGGGGCAGCCAGGAGTCACAGCACTTTGCAGCTGTTGGCTGCTCGCTGGTGGATGGGAAATAGCCCCCATCCAGTTCAAAAGACCAACCGTGGGGTCAGGCCAATAAGAACGTAACGGCCATGCTGGGTCAGACCAAAGGTCCCTCTAGCCCAGTGGCCTGTCTTCTGACTGTGGCCAGCACCAGATGGCCCAGAGGGAGTGAACAGAATCGGGAATCATCAGGTGATCCCTCCCCTGTCACCCTTTTCCAACCCCTGACACCATTCCTACCCATCCTTGCAAATAGCCCTTGATGTACCTAACCTCCAGGAATCTATCTTGTTCTTTCTTGAACCCTGTTAAAATCCTGGTCTTCAGACTATCCTCTGGCAAGGAGTTCCACAGGTCAACCATGTGCTATGTGAAGAAAAACTTCCCTTTGTTTGTTTTAAACCTGCTGCTCATTAATTTCATTTGATGACCCCCTAGTTCTTATATTATGGGACCACGTCAATAACTTTTCCTTGTTCACTTTTTCCACACCAGTCATGATTTTATAAACCTCACTCATATCCCCCCCAAGTCTCCTCTTTTCTAAGCTGAAAAGTCCCAGTCTTTTTAATCTCTCTTCATATGGGACCTGTTCCAAATGCCTCATCATTTTTGTTGCCCTTTTCTGAACCTTTTTCCACTGCCAAGGTATCTTTTTTGAGAGGAGGCGACCACATCTGTGCACAGTATTCAAAATGTGGGTGTCCCATGGCCGATCTCACCCAGATCCTGTCTCTGACCATGGCTGGGGCCAGATGCTGCAAAGAGAATGAAGAGAGTTGGGGAAATGATCCATCCCCGGGCAAGGTTTAAGGACCTTTGGAGCAAGCGCTTGCATTTCTGACCACTTTGGCTAATAGCCATTGACAGACCCGTCCTCCAGGGAATTACCTACTTCTTTCTGAACCCAGTGATACTTACAGCCAGCAAATTCCGAGGCTTGTCTCTGCATTTATTTGTGCCTGTTAATTTTGTCCTCTGACCCCAAGTTCTAGTCTTTATGAGCAGGGATGTAAAAAGTTGGTTAAAAAGGTAACCAGGGAACTGCTGAAAATCTTACATGAGTTTTATTCGACAGATCCTGCAGCGAAATCTCCCTGGGCGTGCGGTCGCCGGCTCCTGCTAGCTCCATGCTCTGGAAGGAGGCTTTGCTGCCACAGCAAAATCACTTCTCCAGGAGCAGGGCAGAGTTTAACCGATAACATTAACCAATAAACACCATCTTATCGGTTAACCGGTTACACTCGAACATCCCTCATTATAAGAAGGGGTAAATTACACGCCCCCTGCTCACTTCCCCCACACCGTTTGGCGTCAACATCTCAGATCTGCTTGGCTGAACGGTCCCAGGGGTTTTATCCTGTCCTTGTAAGGAGCCTGTTCCACACCCCTAATCATTTTCATTGCTCTTCTCGGCATCTTTTCCAAATCTAAGGCATCTTTTACCGAGACGGCGGGACCAGAACTGCAGTATTCAAGGAGCGGACGTATCCTGGAGTTACACAGCGACACTATGATCTTTCCTGTTTCGTCATCTGGCCCTTTTCTTAGGGATCCCTCTGTTCTGCTAGGCTATGTCTACACTGGCATGAATTTCCGGAAATGCTTAAAACGGAACAGTTTTCCATTATAAGTATTTCCGGAAAAAGAGCGTCTACATTGGCAGGATGCTTTTCCAGAAAAGCCCTTTTTCCGGAAAAGCGTCCGTGGCCAATGTAGACGCGCTTTTCCGCAAAAAAGCCCCGATTGTCATTTTCGCGATTGGGGGTTTTTTGTGGAAAAGACTACTGTGCTGTCTACATTGGCCCTTTTCCAGAACAGTTTTCTGGAAAAAGGACTTTTGCCTGAGCGGGAGCAGCATAGTTTTTCTAGAAAAGCAGCTGATTTCTTACAGTAGATCATCAGTGCTTTCCCGGAAATTCAAGGGGCCAATGCAGACAGCTGGCAAGTTATTCCAGAAAAGCGGCTGATTTTCCGGAATAAGTGGCCAGTGGAGACACAGCCCTAGTGTTCAGTGCTCCCCCAAAAAACAGAGCTGAGCGGATGTTTTCAGAGCACTGGCCACAGTGACTCGGTCTCTCTCTTGAAGGGTAACAGCTTGTTAATACCCTGTCGCTCTGTATACACGGTTGGAATTATTTTTTTTCCAGAGTGCAGTGTTTTGGCAGATGAACATCAGGGCTGATAAATGCATGTTGACTCCCAGCCACTTTCTGTAGCCCTTCCCAGTCAGCG